AGGTTGCAGTTACAAGTGTAACTGCAAGTTAACAACTGCACATAACTTTAACCATCCGTTTTCATGATCAACGGTTCAGACTTAACGCTACGGTAACCATGTAAACAGAACCGTGCTACAGTATTTACTGCTACAGTGCTATAAACAATACATTGCATGATCTGGGCCATCCAGTTTGCATCCAATGTGTGTACTGCTACTTAAGTTAATAGTGACTGCACCTAAGCCAAGTCCAGCATGCATGTTAGATTTTTTTTTTATTTAGTACTAAGGAAAGATGCATGCTCTAGAACCAGATCATATCAAAATATCAAAATAGCTGCTTTACGTACGTGGAGAAAAGGAGAGGGGATCAAGGGGGAGACATGGAGCATGTCAGAGCAGCGCTGAGCGATGCATGCAGCTGCTGCTTAGCCTACGCGCGCCTGCAGCTTTTGCATACACCTGCTTGCATGTCTCTACCTAGCTAGTATGGGTAAGCTCTAGCTTAAGTCAGAGCAAAGCAAGATTGCACACTGGTGTTCTCCACTAACACCCCTCCCTCTCTCTCTCTCTCTCTCTCTCTCTCTCTCTCTCTCTCTCTCTCTCTCTCTCTCTCTCTCTCTCTCTCTCTCTCTCTCTCTCTCTCTCCCTGTTGGGAGACAAAGACCGGCTCTTCTGGGACAATGATTTATGCGTCATGGTCTCCCACTATTTACCAGCAGCGCTCCGATGGAAACCTCTGGCCACCATCAGCATCAGCAATAGGATCTTTCTCACTTTCATCTCACCTTTATTCCCCCTCTGTCTCTCTCTCTCATTCATTTACATGTTACTCCTTAATTCATCCTCGAAGAATTACTTGTCTTTGTAGATCATATATTGGTCTCCACAACATATTCCCTCTGTTCCAAAAAATACCGATTCCTAGATGCCCGAGGTAGTTTTAGCGATGGCTGCTGAAGACCAAAATACCCTTACACAACTACACAAGTACTACATTCAATTCATCTTTCAAATAAAAAAAGCAACAATAGGCAAGGAGATTCCCTCGATCCCTCCGTCACTACCAACCATCCACATACAAATCACCGCCGACGTCATCATCGCCGCACGCAGCTGATGCCGACACTGTCGCACCACCGAACAACGCACCGCCAATGCTGACACCGCACCACCGATGCCATGCCGCACGTACCCTCCGGTGTCAGATCCATCATCTTGCACACCTTCGATGGCGCCCCCACCGCCTTGTGCATCACATCCGCCGCCTTGCATAACTTCAAAGCCAATGCCGCATCCGAGCCGCCTCCACCCGCTGCCACCAACGCCGCTAGAGAGCCGAACCCTTCCGCCGCCACATCCGCGTGGTCACGCCCTGGTGGATGCGGAGAAGCAGGAGCGAGGGGGAGAGGCATGGAGTGGAGAGGGAGCTGCAGGGAGGAGCGGTAGAGAGGGACGGAGCGGGGAGGGGGACCGGTGGTGCCTCACATCCGGCGACGAAGAGGATTCGATTGGGGATTTTGGGGTGCGAACTCGCGAGAGAGAGAGAGAGAAACGCCTGGGAAGGGATAAGGCTCGATGGTGGTAACGTGAGGAAAGAGAGGTCATGGGCCCATGGATGTCCTCCATCGGTATGACTTTCCTGGTTTTCTGCGTAAGAGTCGGTTTTTTCTGGGACAAACTCCCCCCTCTAGAATTCGACTTACTCCCTCTGTCCCATAAAAAGAGGATTCCTAGCATCCCAAGGTAACTTTAGTGAGATGTAAAAAGACCAAAATGACCCTCATCAATGAAAAAAGTAGTAATTGTAATAGGTAGGTAAAGGGTATTTAAGGGATAAATCTTCTCGTTTTATGTGCTGAAGATAGGTAGGATGGTCGAAGTTGTTTTTTTTAAATAAAATTTAAACTTTAGAAGTTGAGTTTTTTTTGGACAGATGGAGTACTCCGGATTGGTGAAAGAGTCACGGAGGTTCTCAGTTGGGACCAGTCGTTGCTATTCAGTTGGTTTTGGGCTTGCATTTTTTTCTCTATTTTCTCCTCCTCGCTCTCCTACCTGTGCACGCGCACCTACTCGCTGGTTTTTAGTAGGCTAAAGAATTATCTGGTTTAATCGGGTTTTACTAGTTCGATTACTTAGGAATGTTTTAATTGGACATAACCGTTTGAGGGCTTTGGTTCCATTTTTTTTGTCAGACGGCCGGTCCGGTCTAGTCCTCATAATTTCACATAAAACAGTTTGATCTTTGCAACAAGCACGAAAGAAGATCATGCATTTCAAATGAGGTTATATTATGGTATATATGAGCTGCAAACTTATTGTTTTTGCACAATCAGATGTACACTTGTAAAAACAAATTTGAAAAACATTGTTTAGTAAAAATAAACACTTTTGATATCACGTGTTTCACCCTATTTTATGAGAGGGAATCTATATACCTCCATCGATAAGTTCCTTTACAGTCAGATTAGGTCATTAGGCTCGGGACAACACGGTCGGAGGCAGGCAGATAGTGGGGGATGAGGAAGGGTCGCCTATGGCATGGGTTAGATGGAAATTAAGGTGGTGATATATATACGGAGACTTGGAGAGTTAAGGTCGGTGTACTGTCGCGGTTAGTAAAGGATGTTAGGCAGTAGTGGTGAACCTCGTTTTCAGCCATCGAGCCCGTGGCCAGTATAAAGCACACTACTACAAAACAACATATAAGTATCGCATTATCAGTACCGATAAAGGTTTCTTGTCCTCTCAGACCCGCGTGCTCCCAAAGTCCCGATCAATATTGGTTCCTATCCAGCACTGATGAAATACGTATCAATATTGGTTCATTAAAAGACTTGGCAATTATGTTATTAATGTCAGGTCTTCTAAACAATCGGCACTAATGTGTGAGACATCAATGTCGGTTTATTAAATGATCCACCACTCATCCAAGCCGAGTCGAGCAAATGTCAAGCCGATGTGATTTCAGTTAAAAAAAAAAGAACAACTGAGATTTTATCCCTGATCATTCTCACTCATCTCTTCTATTCCCCATTCTCTCACCCTCACTCTCTCTTTCTTTTCCTAACCTCTCACTCTCCCCATCTTGGCAGCGGTGGCCAACCTTGCAAGCATCGACGCCAGCATCACGGACACCAGCAGCTAGGCTCACGGGCGATGACGGCCACGACTGCCTCACAGGCACTAGCGGCAATGGCTAGGCTTGTGGGCACGAGGCACTGGGGCCTCCCATTGGTGACGAGGCCTAGGAGCCCATTGTGGTTGCTTCCCCCTTGCCCTTTCTCTCACCATGGGCCATTCGATCGGGCTGCCTGTAGGTCGAGGGCCGCCGGATCTGACCTCGCTCGTTACCCTGCATCCTTCCATTGTTGACTCCCTCCTCAACGTCCCTACCTTCCTTCTAGCTGTTGCGGCGTTGCATGCATTGGGGATGGAGGTTGTCCCCATTCCTGGGACTACCACGCCGATGGTTCCTTCTCCGAGTATAATCCGTGTTGCAACCTGTGCTTTTTCTTGGAATCGTTTGTAGATTCTTGATTTTTTTTTCCCATATGTTTTCATGAACTTGCATGTGATATGTTGATATTTGTTGATTAGTCTCGTTCGACTTGATTTTTTTTATGAACATGTTGATGATCAGTTGGTGGTGTGATGTATTGGTGATGATAATCTTGATCTGGATGTGCCATATTTGTCTACTATTCTGTGTCGACTTAGAAGATCTCGGGAGATCTGGGGTTCTAGACTTCTGGTGGCCGCTCAATAAATCAGTCGATTCACTACTTATTTGGCTCGTGGAAACCAATAGTGCCGATTCTCAACTCGGCACTGGTGATCAACATATTTGGTACGGTATTAAATGATCATTTGCATGTGAGATGTGACTCCCTCCCTCCCTCCATGTTTTCCTGTGGAGTATAGCATTAAATAATCTTTGCATGTACCCTGAAATTCAGAATTAAAAATAAGGAATATTAGAAGTAGAGTATAGTGTCCATATAGAAATACAATTAGGAAATGATAGAAATTTGGAATTAAAAATAAGAAATATTAGAAGTAGAGTATAGAGTCCATATAGAAATACAATTAAGAAAAAAAATACAAATTCGGAATTAAGAAAAATGAATATTAGTAGTAGAGAATAGAGTCCATATAGGATTTTAAAACTAACTAAAATTTGGAATAAACATAATGGAATTAAAAGTAGAGTTTAGAGTTCGTATAAAAAATACAATTTACAAATAACTAAAATTCGAAATTAAGAAAAACATGGAAAGAAGAGTATAAAGTCAATATAGGAATACAATTTAGAAGTAACTTAAATTCGAATTTAAAAATTAAAAAATATTGAAAGATAAGTTTAGAGTCCACATAGAAATACAATTAGAAATAATAAAAATTCAGAAATAAAAATAAATAATATTGGAAGAAGAGCATAGAGTCTATATAGAAATACAATTTACAGAAAATTCGGAATTAAAAAAATATATTAAAAGACAAGTCTAGAGTCCATATAGGAATATATATAATTTACAAATAACTAAAATTTGGTATTAAAAATAATTAATAACTAACACATATATAAAATACAATATGAATATTACACATTAGTAGTTTTTTAAAGTTATTGCAAAATTTAAAATTATATTGTCATTTTAATATATTTGAATAATATAATGAGAAAACATATATGCTATTATATGAGAGAAAATATAATGATGCTAACCGCGCAATCTGCGCGGGCCACCATGCTAGTTGTAATTATAACAAGACATATTGAGAAGATGATTGGGGAGTTATAGACGATTAACATGGACTCACCTTAATTAAGGATTCCTGCACTTCACCTACAAATGATCGAGTCCTTGTAGCTCAAAAGTCCCACATGGCAAATGGCATGGATGGTGTGGTCCCATGGCATGCATGTATGATAACACCCCATGGGGATGAGATGAGCATAGAGAGGGTCACTCACAAGGACATTATGGTAAATTCATTCAGCGGCCGCACGTATCGCAATATATGACGTCGCACAGGCATAAAGATCTCCTCAACATATCATAACCCTGCTCCAAAACACGAGCAAATTAATTAGCGCCTCATGCTCACCTCCACTCCTCCACTCTTCTCCGCCATGGAGCACCACCACCACCATGTCAGGCCGGACGGCGAGCTCCGGCTCCTCCTCCTCCCCGCCACGGCACCCACCACGCCCCGCGACGACGACGGAGCCGCCGCCACCTTGTTCCCGCCGGCGCAGCCGCCGCGCGACCACCCGCAGCTCGACCTGAGCCTGTCCATCCGCATTGGGCCGCCGCCGCCGCCGCCGTCGCACACGCGCACGGCGACGGCGACGGCGCAGGCGCAGGCCGGCCAGCAGAAGAAAGCATCAGCAGCAGCGGGCTTCGACGACGGCGACGGCGACGACGTGCGGGCGCTGAAGCAGCAGGCGGCGGAGCAGGCGCGGCTGGCGTCGGCGGAGCGCGCGTACGCGGAGCGCGTGATGGAGCTGGCGCGGCGGGAGCTGGAGGTGGCGGAGCGGGAGTTCGCCCGCGCGCGCGCCATCTGGGAGCGCGCCCGCGGCGAGGTGCACAAGGTGGAGCGCATGAAGGAGGTCGCCGCCGCTCGCCGCATCGGCGCCGCCGCGCTCGAGATCACCTGCCACGCTTGCATGCAGCGCTTCCACTCCTAGCGCTAATTTTTAACTAATCAACCTCGCCGTCGCCGTCGCCGTCGCCGTCGTTCATCTCCATCGTCTCCTTCCTTGGTACGTAGCCAGCTGGCACGCCACGTAGCATATTGGCGATACGTACGTACGGTACTATGCATGTACGTGTGCGTATACACGTACGTACGTACGTACGTACACCAAGCCTCGACGTTTGCTGGATATGGCTGTACGTAGTTAGTTCGATCTGCACACTAGCTTACATTAGCTGCTCCTTTTGTTTAATTAATTTAGCTAAATTTCGTGTGTTTAATTAACGTGTGTTGATTAATTCAGCCTTGGCTACTACACTTTATGTGTACTTGATTCGTTGTGCAAACAGAGAGTATAAAGGATTTTAAAGAGATGTGACTCGTGATACGAGAATATATCACGTCTCTCTAAAATTTCTTATATCATGGAAGAAGTTTATGCTGCACGTTGCTTAACCTTCCATTTGCTTGATCTGCTGCTGCGTGCATGTTGTGGTTCCATCGTACAGTGGCCAGCCCGAAAAGAGGTAAGGAATCTAGCAGCAGTTGAGCTAGCTTGCTTTATTACTACGTACTAATTGGTGCTTTACAATTCGGGTGCGTGCTGGAATATTGTTATCAGCAGCTACTTTCATTAGCAGGTCCAATCTTTCGAAGGTGATAATTGATAGAGGTAGAATATATATATATATACACACACATACATGTTAATTTGTTGATGGGTGAGTTTGTACGCGTGTATTGAACTGCCTATCTCCGTGTTTAGTTCTAAAGTTTTTTCTTCAAACTTCTAACTTTTCTATCACATCAAAACTTTTCTACGCACATAATCTTTTAACTTTTCCGTCACATCATTTCAATTTCAACTAAACTTTCAATTTTAATGTGAACTGAACAAAGGCTATGTCTCTCTACGGTAAAAATATCTATACACGTGAAATGAGTGTATCTCTTGGTTGATTAGGTTCTTATGGTGGAACATATTTGCTGTCTGACTTTAAGCGCTGGACTTGATAAAGTGCTCGTATTTGACTAGCTATGTGTGACTTAATCTCAAGAGGTAATATCTGCGCGCACATGGTATAGAAGGTGAGTTTGGTGGTAAAGCGAGTACCTACGCTAGATTAGGCTTGCAATCTCATTTAGAGGTTTGTTAGGAAACATCCTGTAGGTGTTTAGGAGCATAAGTATACGGTTGCGAAAAAAATTAAAAGATATGTATGATACTACCTCTTTTTAAAAAAACATATGTATATATATTTTAGATTGGCATAGATATTAAAAAAGTTGATAAAAATAATTGGAAATATATTGTGTTTGGTTTAGAAGATGAAGTAAGTGATTAAATTAAAGGGAGAATGGTTGTAATTGGTTTAGAGTAAGGGGCAGGTGGAAAAATAGCTTCATTTTGAGACAAGCTATTGTGTTAGAAATAGCTACATTTTGAGATAGAGAAAATATTCCCTCCATTTTCAATTGATCATCGTATAACTTTTTGAGGTTATTTTTAAATGATCATCATATTAGGATTTGTTCCTTAAGTCAATTTTTATTTATGCATAAGAGTAAATGAGCATTGGTGTTGCAATATCTTGGTTTTTTATTGACTAGGAAAATAATGACGATTGTGTATACATTGAGTTTGTTACCAGAGTAAATATATACATGAGTGTTATTGGCTTTGCTTGGTCTTTATGATCTCTTGTTATATAATGACCAATTGGGAATGGAGGAAGTAATAGTTAAGCAGGTTTTCTTATTTTTCGTGTATTTACTACTATCCATGATTTCACGTGCTAGGCTCATATTAGATCATGTTCTGTTCGGATTGTTAAAACGGCTTATTTATTTCACTTCGAAAAAAAGTACTATCTCCGTTTTAAACTGTAACTACCTAGTACAGGATGTGACATTACTTAATGTCACATCCTAGTACATCCTAGTAATACTAAGTAGTTACATTTTGAGACGGATGAAGTATTTCTCTATTAAAGCCATGTTTAGATTCTAACTTTTTTTCTTCAAACTTTTAACTTTTCTGTCACATCAAATTTTCCTACACACAAACTTCCAACTTTTCCGTCACATCGTTCCAATTTCTTCAAACTTTTAATTTTGTCGTGGAACTAAACACAGCCTAAAAATTTTTCTACTGTATGATTTGTACTATTCGTTTCAAGATATTTGTTAAGTTTATTTAATAAATACTTTTTTATCTTTATAGTTAAGTAGATAATTTGTGTTAATAATCTTAACCAAACAGGACATCCTCGACGTGGGTGAGAGTGTTGGATTATCTAGTTCCACTTTTTTTTAAAGAAAAAAAATTGAACATTCATCTCGATTTATGAAAGACGAGCGGAACAGAGAGGGGTGGGTCGATGTCAGCCTTGTGAAAAACACAGGAGGGAAAAGCTAGACAAAACGACCATGCAGGAGTAGAAACAGTAAGCCGCGAGCCTCTGTTTTTCTCTGTTTGCTCTTACCGATCAACAGTTTGCGACCCCTGCAAAGGAGAAGAAAGAGAAAAAGGATACTTACAAATATGGGCATGCTGCTGCTTGCTGCGTAGGACTAGGAGTATGCAGATGCAGATGCCATAACGCAAATTGTGCAGATGCTACATATCACTTCAGTGCCAGGATGTCGGCACACGAAGGATTTCTTCTGTACTGCCGCTACAGCTTTGTCATTGTTCTTCCTCCTTTCTCCTCTCGTTAATTAGTTCCAGATTTCTGGAATTATTGGGCTTGCAAGTTGATAGTTTAGATAGCTAGGATATGGGACGGAGGTAGTAATCCATAATGAACTCGCTGAGATTTGTTTTCTCGGGCAAGATCTCAATAAAGGAGATTGCGATCCTCCAATGTAACTTCCCACTAAATTAGTGGCTGAAGCCCACATGTCAGTCACGGTGAACAGTAATGTTAAAGGATCCTCTTCCCAATAAGGGTTACAAAATGGATTTAAATTCTCCACAAATTTTAACTACGTTTGAAGAAACTCGATGTTCAAGCCAGTAGATAAATTTTCATGGGTCCGAGATCAAATGCAGAAATGCCTCCAGTCTCGTTATTGGACTACAATTTCTTCAAGGAATATAGCAACTTAGAAAAAAACATATTGTACTTCTAGGAAAAGATTAGATTTCAGAAATTGTCCAAGAACTTTCTTGCTGGATTGTTCCATTCTAGTCATTGAACTCCATTATGAGTGTTCTCAGCTTGCTCAATCGCAACACTACTAGTATATACATAGCTTTTTTTTTCCGAGCAAAAAGTAATTCACTGGTAAGTCCTTATAAAATTTACAGAACTTGGAGCTAGCTACAGTTCAGAGATAGACGACCTGCAGTTCAATTCGATCAGCAAAAAGCTGATAGCATCTTGAGTACTAAAGCGCGATGATTAGGAACCGGGAAGAACCAGCAATTAATGATTGGGGCGTTATGTGTGTGTCGCGTGGAATCATCATGTGTTCATGTTCATGTTGTGATCGATCGAGACCAAACAAGCATCACCGATTGATGAGATGATGATGATGAGATGAACAATGGCTTGAAAAGTACTTCACTGACATGCTGACACGGAACCAAATTAAAGAGATCGATGTACTGATCCTACCTAGCATGAAACACAGCAAAGCACAGCCCATGTGCAACTTCGTGCCTTTTTGCGATTGGAATCTTGTTCTCACGTTGGGCTCGGTTTGTGACCTGTCTCTAGGATTTTTAGTCGAGGCTAGGGATCACGATGTTTCTGTTCTTCAGTTAACTGCAGGGTCATCTCTTTCAGACCTTGCCTAATCATGCATGCATATGGGTTGCCGATATGACGGAGTTGTTGATTGTTACGGAATTAGTTTCACTGTTTTGGGGTTAATTATTTTCCTCTGTCGACTGATAACGAAATTGCAGAACTGGAGAAATTTCACTTCTGCAAAATATATCGGTTCAGAAGAACATAAGGTAGCCTCAATTGCTTTACAGTCTGCGAAGTTGTTAACAGGAACTTTGTTTGAGTACTGTCAACTTTTTTTTTTGATAATGGAAATAGGTTATATCTCCGGCCTCTGTCCATAAGCACACAGCCAAAAGGTCCATAAGTGAACAGAAAAGAACTTGAAAAAGGTTAAGATGGGACAAACCCCCAACTTCTGCCGATAATATGATCTACTGAGATAAAGTTTTCTTGCTATGAACTTGAAGTTGAGTGCTGTCAACTTGACATGAGAAAACAAGGATGATAGCAAAATTTTCTTGTCGGCCGTGCAAAGATCCTGAATATATAATTATAATCAATGGAGCACTGATCACAGTAACATGAATGTGCATATTCTTGCGACAAAACATGCATATAGATGATCCAAAAACCAGGAACCTGACAGACAGAAACTTACAGGTGAACAACTAGCTTGGTTGCTACCACCTTATCACAGGACACAAGGAAAGAAACAAAGGAGAAGCAGAAGCAGATGGCCCGAGTTCAGATAGAAAAAAAAGGACAGATACGATGCATGCATGCCATGCATATATGAAAATCTGGATAGAGTTAGCAAGCAGAAGGCCTTATAAAGATCGAGTTGATGACATACTATATCTTAAACTTAAAGCAGGAATCATCACTCTACTTAGCCTTCTACATGAAAAAGCTACAGAATGAAGAGCATCCGATCCTATGAGCAAACAGAAAATAAAAATTAAGAGATCACGCGTAGTTAGCTAGCTGCACACGTACTCATCAGTTATCAGTGCCATCTTGCTGACGAAACTAAAGAGGCACAATTAGACTAGCTATCTGCGATTCTGAATGCATGGTAACATGTAACTTAGCTTGTCATGCATATGCATGGTGGCGACAAAGAGATAGCTACTAGAAAGAAATCAGAGACCGAGGCTCCTCGGATCGATCGGGACAGTGAATCTGTGCGAACACTGCAAAGGTGATACTGATCGATGATAAGGCACTTGGGAGTTGGGACTAGCATGAGTGACTGGAGGAGGTGCGCATGTGGGTAGTGCTTTCTAGCATGCCCTCGTACGTGAAATCAAGGTGTTGATTTTAGTTAAGGTGATAAACAATCACCACTACAGAACAATTTTCACGGACAACTTCTTTCTTTTCACAGGAGGGCGAAAATCTCCGTATATGAAACGATTTAGAAGCTACCTAGTTAATACGTAGTTAAGACCACTTGAAAAAAAAATACATTTTTACACACAAATAGTTTTCTTTTCGTAGACGGACTTATTAAGAGATCCACGTAAAAAAATATTCGCAGGCCATCTTTTTTTCCTTTTAACTCTTCCCAACTCCTTTCTCTCCCTCTTCTCCTCTACTTTTCTCTCCTTATCCCTTAGCTTCTCTACTTCTCCCTCTCCGCCTCCTCTACTTCTCCCCTCCTCTACTTCTCTCCACCAGAGATCCACTTGCGAAGGGAACAGCCGACGGGACGGCACTGTAACGAGCGAATCTGCCACTAGCGGCATCGGGGAGGGGTGGATGCGCCACCAGCGGTGGCATCGGGAGCTGCAAGGCCTCGGCGGTGGTGGGTGGGAGCTACGGTTGGGTTATTTTTTCGCAGGCGGCAGCATAACTGACCGCCCGTGAAAAATGATTTTCTCACGAGTTTGTCGCCGTTTGGAAAATGTCGATTTTTATAGACATCTTAGGGGAGGCGAGTCGCTCAGCCATTTGCGAAAATCATTTTTATAGTAGTGAATTGTTAAAAGTAATTAATAAATTGTTATGTTGGTATTTGTGAAATGATGTTGAATTTGGCAAAGTGTCGGGGCAAGGACGGTCTAACCACTATGGGGTGAGCAGTTAGACCAGAAGTACATAGCACTACTAGGAAAAGCATTATCGCAAGCGGCCGAAAAGGATCTTTGCAGGCGAGGTGGCCGTCCGCCTGTAAGCCAACGACTGTGAAGATCGCCGATCTTCGCAGGCGGGGCGGCCGTCCACCTGTGAAGATAATTTTCGCAGGCGGACGTTGGCTAGTCCGGTCCGCCTGCGAAAAAAGGAATCGGCCGCCTGCAAAAAAAAAACTTCCGCTTGTGAAGATAGGTAGAAAATATTGAAATTTAATAATAATTTGCCCGTAAAATACTTTTAAATTATTTAATAGAAATTCTTGTAGGTAGATTATTATGTACATATATTGGAAAATTATCAAGCATTTGGTACTGATAAATGTACATATATTACATTACTCAAAAGTGTTGCCAAAATATATATATTACAATATTTTTTTACATTGTCACTTCAAATACGCCATCTAGTTAATACATAATGGCATAGCACTGTTCCACTCCCGAAGATTCTTGAATTCGTCACTTGTGGCTAGGGCACCCTCTGGGTCGAAGAAATCTCCTTTCACATGACATCTTATGGTGGATGAAGTGACACAGATCACACTGGACATTTTTTATGCCTGTATCGTCAAAGCTTGTTCGACATTGTAATCTTGGCAACTGCATGCATTGAAGATAAACAATATATTAGTATCATAAATATATGAAGTTGTCTAGCACATAGTATAGAGACTTACATCCTCCGCGTTAGTCCTGTACCTCCCATTAACTCTAAGGAATTCGCAAGCGTAATACCCGCAAAGGACCGTTCCTTGCGGTTGCTTGTGACACTTCAGGACATATCATAAAAGATAGTTAAAATTTG